ATGTTTGCATATTTTCGTGAAGTTTCATTTTTAAGTCTATCTCGACCACCATGACCAATGGCCACATGAGCTGCTTCAATTATATCAAAAATTTCATCTACATACAAGTAGTATTTCATGGGCTCCTGTCTAGTCACTAATTTACGTATTCCACAAATATTAATTACCTTAAATCGCTTCAGTCTCCTGTACTGTTTTTGAGATTTCTGAACAGCTAACTGTGCTTCTTCAATTTCGTCCACTAAACGGTCATAGGTTTCTTTTGGCATAATATAAAAGTGGTCCTCTTTTTTTTCATGTTCACGAATCGCTAATAATCTATTTAAAAACTCCTCTTTCCACAGCGTTCCTTCATTTAAGTTTACCATGACTATTTGCGCTCGAATCAATCTATACGTGCTTAACAGAATAAAAACAAAGCATGAATGAATGGAGCGAACGAAAGCACAGCGCGCCGACGACGGTGCTTGGGAAGGGATTCCCCCGCGTTTGCCGAATCAGGTGATGTCTCGCGACCAATCAGAATAAAGTAGCCTTGGTCGGAACAGTTTTAACTGACTAACTTCGAAAAAACGCTAATATTCAATTGTGAGCATTAGTTAATTCTAGTTTTAACAAAGGTGTTTAGTAAAGACGCGTTCTAACTAGGAATAACGCGTTCTATCTAAAAACCGGTTTTAACTGTAACATATATATAGATATATATTAGTGTAGGATTCCGAAAATTTTAAAATTATCTTAAAAAGTAATGAAATTTTCTTTCATTTCATTTCCAACACTAACTTAGTTATCATTCAAACTTCTTGGGTCAATCACAGATTAATTTTACTTCCCAACAATTTCATATAACTAATTCTAAAGCTGTGAGTTACTTTCAACACGACATCAATTTACATTCATCAAAACAATCAAGTTACATTCGACAACAAACGAATTAATAAACAAATATGGTGGCGCGGGGCACATTACGTTCAACCAATCAGCGCGCAAGGTGCGCCCCGTTTCACAATTTGACGGTTTCACTTCGATAGATTACAATCTACCGAATAATAATACGTTAAATTGTAAGCAGTTCGTTGAGGTTACAATCTCGCGAGATAGATTACAATCTAACGGTGTTTACAATTGTGCTTACAAATGCGCTTGCACCTTGATATTGTTGCGGAATTATTATAATGCGGAACTAAGATGAAATCAATTGTCTTTTGTTCAAAATGAAATACTTGTGTTAGCTTTTATTATTTATTTAATTATATTCTAAATAATTTATGAAACATATTCTTTTGCTACAAGTGCGCATGTGCAATAATTACTCATTTGACTCGTTCGGTTATTTACGAATTGTTACGAATTGACTCGAATAACTGCCCGAAGTGGGAAGGTCGAGTCAGAGTGGGGACTAGATGATAAAAGAGCTTGTAACACATGCGCACAGGCAATTCCTTTGTTCAAGTTGGAGTTTATACATTTTACGTATGGTCAGTGTGTGAAATATAGTTAATCAAGTCATCATTGGAGTGTTTAATTTCCTACCCTAAGAACTAGATCAACTAGCCCTAACACTTGTATGACTGAATCGTTATGTCGTATCGTATCCGAAATAGATGAGCTGGTAGTCCAGTCCAATTATAGGTATACAAGGACAGCGTTGACTGGGGAACCTTGAGCGCATAGGCCAAGATCAGGAGGTAAAGGAAGCTTAGTTGAGCTTAGTGGTCGGAGACCAGTAGGTGCCGCTGGATTGACATAGCGGAGGAGGACCTGCTGCAGCTGAAAGCCAGCAATTGAGGGAGGTGGCACAGGACACGGAGCGCTGAAAGCTTCGTATTTTGGAGGCCGAGACACTTTTTAGGTCGTTATCCGAGTAGCTCAGAGGTATACGTGGATGTTCCAGATTTTGGGTTATACGTATGTAAGTTGGCTGTAGATCCGACGACCTTTAAACGCCCGGAAAGATTATCAATAACTGTAAGCTAAGAAACATCTTGTTCACGTTGCAATAGGAGCTACGATGCCACTTATACACACAGACACATCAAACTTCTTGGGTTGGACTTAAAAAACCTTCACAAAAAATGTATTATTTTAAATAAAAATTGTCATAAAAACTTGAATGAGTGAGTCAACTTCTTTAAATTCCTGATTCTTTCTTGAAAAGAGCATACTAATTCATCGGCCGGCAACGCACTGGAACCTTCTGGCATTGTGAATAGGTATCCATGAGCGGTGGTACCTCTGTTCTATAAAAAATATGTTTTCGTCGACATTTTTTCGCATATTATTGCATAAATAGACTATCTACCGCATTTTTTTTTAAATTGAAACCAATAGTTTTTGGCAGCCATTCCTATACATGTACAACTACTACGACTAGCAATTCATTCATTATCTATATTAAAACAGTAAGTGGACTAAAATCACACAAGCAATTAACAAAAGACGTTTAATTATTCTGAATCGACTTATAATATTTTTCATTTATTGTAGATTACGTAAATCACTTTTTAATGTGTTTACACAACGATTATTTTAAGTTGATAAGTTGTACTTAGATGTGATGTAGTGTAGGAAAAAGAAGTCATTAAGTGTCGATTGTAAATATGAGCCTGAATTCTAAGTATCAGCTCAGCTCGGATTACACTGAAACCAAATTATAAGTGGGGTTTAATTCATTGCAATCTGTCTGTGCAGTTATGAATGTTTCTTTCTGTGTGACAATAAATCAAGAAGATTTTGCTTTAATCTGTTTAAATTAGCATTCCATTGTTTTTAATACAAAGAAAAGTTTCAACCTCATTACACGCTGTGATTAATCAGATTAAATAAATATTAACTTTTTCATTGAAATAATTTTTTTATTTATAATTTTTATTATATTTATTTATAATGTCGAATTTTATTTATTAAAAGTATCTATTTAATAAATTTTAAGTGATTTTTACTTGAAATAATTATAACTAAGAAACTACAAAGTAAGAAGTAATCTAAGAAACTCCCGGTAGTAACTATTTTAACTTGTATGCGTCTACTACACCATCAATATTTCTCAGACAGCTATTGTTTAGGCTTCGCAGTTCACAAAAATCTCTTCTGTATGTGAAAATATCTCAAGAGTATCTAAAAATATCTCTTTCCTTGCCTAATTTTAGAAATATTTGTGATTATAGAAAGTTGTGGTTACTTTTAATAGATCCCAACTGAATCATAAAATATATAGTTATATCAATCTTTATAAGTACATACATATATTTCTCAGTGCAATATCAGTTCCACAAATAGAAATAATTAAAATGTAAAAAAGCTATGTAAATATAATATACTTACCTTCTGTTGCATAAATCTGAAAGCATCAGTAGTCCCGCTTATTAATTTAATAGAAATCTGATTCAATTAACTTCAAAATAATGTCTCTTTAGAAATCATATTATAGACTTATTGTATTTGGATCTTGCGAATCCATTAGATCTCGTCCTTCTCCGTATGCTTAAGTCCAACCCTCTATGGTGCTCGTTATCAAAAAGTTTCGTTTAATAAATAGTCACTATCATCAAAAATGTCCATTGCTGACAAGATACCGTAAGAAAATATCTTCCATAATATCTAACTTGGTAATTTAAAATACCCTAAAAATAAACTAACTCATCGAAACTTAACAAAAAGAAGAAATATATTCATAAAAACTTAGCAGCAGAAACCAGAAAACAACTGAGCATCATTCATATACACAAAAGAATGTTTTCTCAATTCTCAATTCGAGAATCATCAGATTGACGGTTAAATCTGTTCTTGAGCATTCAGCATAGATCTCGGCTTAAATTACATTTTGGGATAAGGCAGAATTCTGATTTGGCGATCGTTAAATCGCATATTAATAATTAAATCTCCTTTTAGAATACAATCTTAACTTAAATCTACAATCAGTGCTAAAATGTAACTTAGAATTCGTACTTAAGTTAACTATAATTGTCTATAACTCTATATTACAACTGTAACTAGTCGGATTATAGTTAAGATTACTTAAGGGAATCCCCTAACATCGATACACCCAAAACTAGGGTTACCAATTTACAGATAAATATTTTGCCCAAAATATGATAAAACCGTAAATATATAATCCGTACCATATAAATAAAAATACGAAAGAAGATGAAAATTTAAACACAACAATTATGTTTTTTTTCCAGAAACACAAACACACAAACCTCTGATCACCTATGGCCTGCGATGAGTCATAGCCAGACGGCAGATTAGGTTATTACGATAGCAACACTGAAACATTATCAAACTAAAATTTAGTATTGCTTTGCTAATGGGTGAAATAAATATTGATAAACAATTAACAAGGGTCAAATTAAGTAAACACATCGCGGAGTGATTGAGTTTAGATTTTAGAGTACGTTTGTATATATAATTTATATAAGTTTGGACTGTAATTGGACGGACTCTAGCTGTAATAGTTTGTACACGGTAAGAAATTTCTTTTTTAAATACTCTAGAATTTGTCCATTTAAGTTTTAACAATACAAAGAAATAGTTAAAATTAATCATCAACAACATCTAGAGGATTGCTTTGACTTCATTCTATACTCTGACATGTCTAGTATTTATATATATACATTCTATATTCTTTAATAAATATTATTATTAGAAAATAGAAATTGATTATTTGTGAATAGGTTTATAAAGAAATTTAATCTTAGATAAATAAATTAATTAACATATACATTAACATTTTTTTAAATAAAATTTGGCCATAGTATCATTTGGTTTTAATGAATATCTTAGGAGATATCATATTTTTAATATAACAGTTTTACTCTATATACAAACAACTTAACATAAACAATATTTATCACACACATTACATCACATCTGTATCCTGTAGCAGTGTCTGATAATTGAATTCTAGAAACTGATTATAGACAAAGTAAATAAATAAAGTATTACAACATTCGTCAGTATATTGTATGTGAAGCTTAATTTGTAAATTATTTTTACAGATGAAAAAATTTGCATTTCAAAGTTCAAGTGATTCACGTTTCTCTGGAAGTATGTTCTTTGAAATCTATAAAAATGCTGACTTCCTATGTCACAATAAAAATGTAGAAACCATATTATCTAAGGGCTATCAGCTAAGACAAGCATTGAAAGATATCTCTCCGGGTGAAAAAGTTACTATGCAAGACATGTGGCTAACATCAGTAAAAGAGTAAGTTGGTATATAAGTTGTTACTATAAGTACATATATTAGGTCCTTACATATGAAATTGGTGTTTTGTATGGGAGGAACAAAAAGTTTAATATTTTTAAATAGTATAAGATCCCGATATACAACAACCTTCACCGAGATGCTTATTTAATGAAACGTATTTTATATTTAATTTAATATGTCAATAAATATAATCCATATTGGTTGCCTAGCAAATTTCAGTCCAGAGTATGTTTAATTAGTATTTAAAAAAAAAAATATTTTTTATAATGTGCATGTATATTATAGTCAATTTTTTTAATTTTTTTCAATCAATATTTTTAATCAGGGTAGTATTATATATGTATTACTATAACTTTCTTTTTTACGAAAGATGTATATTATATACTTTAGTGTCACATAAAAAATATACACATAAATAATTAATTGATTAAAAACAACCTAACGTTTGCATATTCTATGGGTTTCATACTTTCGATTGGTATACAATTTATCTAATAATCATACCGGTGAAATGTTTAAAAACTACTACTACTTTACTCCCCGTACGGAGGATGTCTTAGACATTCCAATTAAAGCTCTTCTAATTTGGTAGCCGTCTGTTGTGCAGTGTGTGGTCTAGCGTTGTCGTGAAGTAACAGTGGCGTGGAGCGATTGACCAGCCTAGGTTGTTTAGCCGCTAGCTTTTCCATCATGGTTTGCAATTGCTGACAATAGACATCAGCCGTAATAGTCTGGCCAGATTTGAGAAAACTGCAATGAACAATACCGGCACTAATCCACCAAACTCTTACAAGTAACTTTTTTGGGGTTAATTTTCGCTTGGGGCAGGATTTGGCTGGCTGGCCAGGATCCAACCATTGCGCTGAGCCCTTCCGATTATAGTAAATAATCCATTTTTCATCACAGGTAATGATTCGGTTTAAAATACCTTCATTATTGTGCCGGTTCAGTAATGTAACGCAGCAGTCGACGCGCGTTTGCCGGTTTGCTTCAGTCAATTCGTGAGGTACCCATCTTTCAAGCTTTTTAATCTAATTTGCTTCAAGTGAATTAAAACAGTTTTATCACTAACACCGCAGCCTGCAGCTAACTCGGACGTGCTTTGCGATGGATCCGCTTCCACAATAGCCTTCAATACTTCATTCATCAACTTGGGTCTCAGGCCGTCCACGGGGCTTGTTCTGCAAGTCGAAATTTCCAGAACGAAAACGTTGGAACCAAAAACGAAATGTGTTTTCTTTTGCAACATGACCGCCATACACATCATTCACCCTTCGAGTCGTTTCCGCAGCACTAGTGCCACGGCGGAACTCGTACTCGTAAATAATGCGATACTTTAAGTTTTCCATTTTGTAAAATGAGTGATGCAAACAGAAAAAAACAGAATAAAAAAAACAAATGAATGACGGTCATCGAAGCACAAATAGATGAGTAAATAGCTGTACAAATTTGAATTTGGAATTCCTTACCAAAGAGGAGAACATCGTTATTAAAGTGGCCAGTACGAAATACGCCAATTTCATATGTAAGGACCTAATATTATTTATTTATCCAGGTTGACTATTTTTACTATATACTGTTTGCCATTATTTTTACTATCTTCTTTTCTAAACTAATATTTATAATCAACATAGATTTGTATTTTTGCATGTTTGTAATAAATAAATTCAAATTTTCTTTCATCATTAAAATGCACTCATTGTTATATAGGATATATTTATTTCTTAAACATTTTAAAATTTGTTTGTAAACTTAAATTTTAAAAAACTTAGCGATAATATTTATGTCGCGGTTGTATTGTATGAATTCAGTACATCTTAATAGTATACATTTTAATTCTAGAAATATTACTGATTTGTTATTAAGTTCTTCTGAAATAATTCAACAATTTGTTTCCAGCATACCTCTGTTAGTGATAAAAAGTGGGCCAAATGTAATTGTAAAACACAATGAATTTACAGCAAACCGCTTGACTGGTTTAACAGCCGCATATGCTAATGACAAACGCTCACAATTCCCCCAATTACAGGCAACTGAGGCTCAGGCACTTGGTTTAAAATGGGATAGTAAGTGCCCGGTTATGTCTAAACTGTACTTGGCATCTGTAAGTGGTACTGAACACTTCTACGAACAGTTTTCTTTCTGGCCTTTAGTATGTGCGTTAAAAAAGTTGCAGCTTAAGAAAATAACACTGGACCCTGTGGTCAAAATGGCAAAGATCAAAAATAGAGATGGCATTCGTTTATGCCAGGATATGATGGGACATTGGGAGGCCACTTGCAGTCTTTGGTCACAATTCACCGAGGCTACGACAGACTTTAAAAAAACTTTCAAAACATTCCCACAAGAGCTGAAACAATTGTTTCCTTGAACACTTGTTTATTTAGTATTGGATTTATATTGCGAACATCTTTTGATTAAAAAAGATTTTATGTATCAATTAGTACTATTAATTATGTAGACATATTAAAGCTTTTAAATTTTTATTGATATTGTATAATCATAGCATATAAGTTATATTGTTTAATAAACAAACTTTATTTCACCTTTTTTCTAATGTGATATATGTCATTTTAAATGTCTGAATTCTCATTAAATGATAATAATATGATAGTGTTCTTCTCATTTCATTGCAATACTGTAACTTGATGCAATGGTATATGGTAACAGTTACATTAAAAAATGTGCTAAAGAATTGATTTCGGTCCTATTTTGGGTTTTATGGCCTTTAATAATTGAGACAGACAAACAGTCTTAAGCCATTAAATTAAATTAATGAATAAGAACATCACCTTGGAACGATGGTAGTCACAAAATGTGTAAGGATAAATGGGGGTATGTTTTTAATACAACAATTTATATTTTAAAGCACTTTTATTAATTTCAAAATAATCTAGTACATAATCACGCAGACACTAATATCATTACTACGAGAAAATACACACATTTTTGTATCATTTGCCAAAATAAATCTCATATCAATTCAGTTCAATAAGTTTAACTTTGTATAATTAACCATATAATTTTATCAATTAAATTCCTAATAATCTACCTACTTAATCTATCTATCTATACATTGTTACCGCTGTTACACCGTATCAAAACAATTTAATTTACAATTATGATTTCTCATTGACGGTGTAAAAGAGGTTCTCTAACAAAATATGTATGCGATTAAATTGAGAAAATGTCTAAATCAAATATATCCTACGATATCAAAAAGACTAGTATGCCATGTAAACGAAACGCCTGGGTAAAAAAGAAAATCTAAAATAAACTATGATTAATTAGATTTGGCTACACTCAAAAAGCTTTTGAAAATCTTAGAATACATAAAAGATAAAAAAAGGTCTACCTAAATGTGACGTTGGCGAAGCTGGCACATGTTAAAATGCGAAATAAAACATGGTACAAAAACTCTTAATAATATTTTTATACATAAGCAGTAGAAACATATTAATGGCATTCATGATTATCCTTCTCTTTCCAAGTCGTGAGAAAGAGACAACATGCAATTTAAGTCATAGGTACTAGAGATGTCAAAGTTAATTAGGAATTTGTCAGATTACAGTTATAATGCGCAAGCGCGTTTAAAATATAGAAATTTAATAAAAATGAAATATATGTTCTTCTCATCAACGTGGAAGCTTTTTTGTTTCTTTGAGCAATTCTCCATACAGATTAAACAAAATATATCTTGAATTAACTTTTGGTAAATTGGAAAAGAACGAATTTATCAACATGATCCAAGTTGATGATAGTCCGTAAAAGTTTGTATAATTATAATCAAAATAATAAGCTTTAAACAAATCTAATATCTTTCCCTACTGAAAAAAAGGCATGCTTCCATGCATCCATAGACATGAAAAATTGTCAATTCTTTCAGGTAATAAAGACTGCATTCAAAGTCATACGTCAAGTCAGTGTGAAAGAGACGACAGTCCCTCGCACTTGTTTATTCAAATTAAAGTGTGATAATTGTCGAATGCATTGTGTGTAATAGAGGGAGACAACATGCGCTCCAATTCTCAAGACAAAGTGTGAAAGAGACGACAGTCCCTTTAACTTGAACTAATGAGTGATAATAGTCGAATGCAGGCACTGCGGTACAACATGTCTGTATGGTAATTTGTAATTTTTTACCGTTCTAGCGGCGAGGCATTTCAGTGTTGTGTATTTGAGCGGATTGACGATTGTGGACAGGTTTTGGTTAGTGGCTTTGAGGAGTTCCGCCGGCGTCTCGCCTTCGTAGTTCACCGTGTCGATGTGGGCGCCGTATGAAAGCAGGTGCCGTACTACTTCAGCAGGGCAAGGGTCCAACTGAAATGTACAAACAATCTACTGCAAAACTCTGTTTTTTTAGACACAAATTTTAATCGACTTAAAAAAAAGGACGTTATCTATGTGCATGTTTAAGAATACAGATTAAAGAAAAGCAGCTATTTATTCGAATGTATGTATTAGTTAGGTGATTACGTCAACAATAATTATATACTTTTTTACATATATTACCCACTCATTGTCAAAATGCATTTCGTTATCAAGCATTCCTACAAAAAACATTAAAAAAAACAAGAGGAAGGGGGGATAAATTGCAGTAAGTCTGCTTACGTAATACTTGAACGGCCCCTAATAGAATTTAATAATGAATTATATAATAGAATTGGAAAAAATACCAACATCTTAATAAACAGAAAGAGTAATAACAATATATCACAATAAATTTTGCGTCGTATTACGCCTCAAATAGACAAACAAAACATACCTTGCAAGCCAGGTGCAAGGGCGTATTCCCGTCCGCGTCACGCGCGTCGGGCGCCGCCCCCAGACGCAGCATAAGCGACACGAGCGAAGGTGAAGGCGCCGGCTGCCCGTGCTCGAACCAGGGCGCTCCGCCCCTCGCTCGGGTCACCTCTGCGGAACACACCACGTGGAGGGCGGAACGACCTTGCCGCACCTGCTGAAAAATTACCATTACTTCACACCCAGATTTCAAGACGGTCCTTTTAAGTTTAACTAAACTTCAATTTAAAGATTTTGCTCAACCTTTAAATTAACAAAATCTTAATCAAATTAACACTATGACGTCACTTTAGTGTTGCAGCAACGAGTGTTGGCTTCAGCGTGCGACTCCTTGAGGTCTTAGGTTCGATCCTCGGCTTGTGGACCAATGGGATTTCAGTCAATGTGCGCATTTAACATTCGCTCGAATGGTGAAGGAAAACATCGTGAGGGTTTCCTCACGATGTTTTCCTTCACCATTTAAGGCAGTGGCAGGCCGGTTTCGGCTTGCCTTAAACCCAAACAGTCGACGGCGTGTGTCAAGCACAGGAGGCTGATCACCAACTCGCTTATTAAATTGACAAATGATCATGAAACATACAATTATGAGGCATATACCTAAAAAGGTTGTAGCGCCACTCGTTTGTTTATGACGTCACCATACAAGCCAAGTGGTTTATTAATTTTTAAACCGTACACTACGTTTCTTCGGAAACGAATTACATTAGCAGTTCATGCTCAATTATTATTATTAAAACACAAATGATTACTTAATATTTCTACAAAACCAATGTTCCGAATGTTCAAGCATATCTGCAAATCTAAGTTAAATTTGTTAGAAAAATATTATATTTCTACTAGCTGACCTGGCAAACGTCGTGTTGCCATGTATATTATTTATAATAAAAAATAGGGGTTGATCGTAGAGGGGTGAAAATTAGGGGTTGTATGTATTTTATGCTGTATCATAAAAAATAAAAATGAATTTTTATCTAAAAATTAGGGGTGGACTACCCTTAACATTTAGGGGGATGAAAAATAGATGTTGTCCGATTCTCAGAAATACCCAATATGCACACAAAATTTCATGAGAATCGGTCAAGTCGTTTCGGAGGAGTTTAACTACAAACACCGCGACACGAGAATTTTATATATAAGATTTCTTCTTTCTATAATATTTCTTATTGGATCTTTTAAAAACTGATAATGTTACACACCTTAATATCAAGCTTGACGAGTGTGTAAACGGCACGATGTATCTGACTGACCACATCCGGAGTGATATCCGGTTCCTCTAACAACCGGGCCATCAAAGCCGCCAGATGCAATGCTGAAACAAAAGTCTCATGAAAATCTTTGTTACACTTCTAATTGAAAAGAATTCTATAGAACACTTGAGTGAACTACATTAGGCGAGATTTAATTTAAAAATATGCAAAAATAAATACAGTGTGTACGATTCCTGGGTCATCGTGGTGCTTTAAATAATCGATTTTAGTTTTACTCAATTTAATCAAAAGTTACATATTAACCAATTATTAATTTAAAAATTAAAAATTAAGAGCCGTATTGGCCTAGTGGCTTCAGCGTACGACATCCCTGAGGTTGTAGATTCGAGCCCCGGCTGTGCACCAATTGACTTTCTCTAGCATTTAACATTCGCTCGAACGGTGAAGTATCGTGAGGAAACCGGCTTGCCTTAGACCCAAAAATTCAACGGCGTGCGTCAGGCACAGAAGGCTGATCACATACTTGCCTATTAGATTAACGAATGATCAGAATCTTAAAATAATTTTACCTATAATAACAACTCTCTGCAGTGTACAGAGTGTAGCTTCTCTATCAACATCACTTAGTTTGCCCTCAAGGAGTTGTACCCCTCTCTCTATCTCAAATAAGGCTTTCGTGTATACTGGTTCTATATCCTCAAAGGTAACTGGGGGTACGATTCGACCTGTAATAATTTAATAAATGATATTAAAATTAAACTTTCTATGGATATAACAATTATCATTACACATTATAGTTAATAAATCAAAACTTAATCTGTTATAAAAAGGCGATTTAAAAATTAATAGACACTTAAAGGAACACTTCAAATTATACCACATAGCCGAATTTTCAAAGATATAAACCAACCTTTGCCCATGCAAACATGTTCAGTTTAAGCTAGGTAATTGTACAAAATCATTATAAGTATTTCTTTGTATGCCCTCAAAAATGCAAATTAAAGTGTAATTAGTAATTTTTGTTATCAAATAACCATTTCATCTGTTAGCAATCAATCTTATAACTTACCTCTCAATGGCGGACGTGCTCTTTCAGCCAGCATATACGAGAACAATTCGGAAAAGCTATACAGACTGGATTGCGTAAGGGGCGATAGTGGAGGCAAGACCGCTCTCTGCATATCCAGCGCGTGGTGCCAAAGTTGCCTGCAACGTGCGAACCGGCCCGCGTCCGCGTACACCGCGCCGCGGTAGCGTACGTAATACGATGTGTCAGGGTGGACTGGACCTGAAATTAATTTCCATTCCAATATAGTGTTTGATAGACCATTCATATATTAATTATCAGTTAGAGGTGTACAAGGTGTCCCATAAGGTGTGTTATCACGAAGACACATCCCCTCGCCGCCAAGTCCAGATCGGAAGCCGGAGTCCAATTTTTTTGAAGTGAAGACTTCTTTAGCGGCGTTGTACACCATTTTTGGAATGGGTAAAAAATGTTAAACTCGAGTCAGGACAAATTCGTAAGACGGATGTTTTTTTAAAGGATTATGAACCTTCGTGCTATATATATATATAGAGTACGATAGCGCAATAAATAAATATTATATAACCACATAAATGATAGTACTTTTTTACTGATAATTAAAGCAATTCGTGCAAAATTATTCCCTAACCATTTCAAAATATCAAAAATGCACAACGTTAACATTCAAGTTTTCACTTCTGCCGGCACTACCGGAGTGCAAACCCGTCGTTTTTGAAGTTATACTTCTTTAGGCGCGTTCTGAAAAATTGATGAGAGTGAAATTTAACGATGCGCGCGCACCGTGACACAAAATTAACAGAATGAAGTTGCCCACAGAAGATGCTACGGCATTGGCCATAATTTAATAACAACATTCGAATAATAAAAGAATTTATGTTACACTTAATGTAAGAGAATAATAATAAATATTTATTTATTTAATTTTTTAAATGTAAACTGAACTTTATTGACTATAATGACTCCTTTTCCAGTCTTTGATCATTTAATTGTAATTAATTATTTGCATGCAATCAAAAACTATTTTTAATAATGCCAAAGAAGTATAACTTCTTACGCGCGTACATAAGTACACGCACCCATTTTTTATGGGGGTTACCTTAATATTAAAGTCTACGAAACAAACCCGTGGTCAATTGATGAACTGAGAGAAAATATGCAACGAGAAATGTCAACATTTTCTGAGCTTACTTGCCGCGCAGTAATGGAAAATTTACAGGTATGCCAAGAACGAAATGGAGAACATTTGGAAGTGATAAATAAAATTTAGAATACTAAATAATAAAATCATACTAAACATAGTTTTGTTTTTAATAATTGTTTTCAGTTCTAAAAATTACCGGACACCCTGTATATGTATATGATCATGACTGACAAAGTAACGTGTGCTAAATTTTGAGAGTGTATGTATATTTGTCTAGAATTTCTCTCAAACTTCAAGTCATATCAAGAATTTGATTTAAATTGAAATCTGTTCGGTATTTTTGTAAATACGAGTATGCACGCATTTCTGGCGTGAACATGTATAATGACAAAGAAGAAAAATAATAAATTAAATCTGTATATTCCTTTTGAGTTGACATATTTTTCCTTCATAACAATTTATCAAATGTGTACATAGGCATACATAGGCTTTATTATAAATAGTTGATTGAATCATGATCTTGATCACCCAAGAAGCTAAGCCGACCTATTATAACTAAATATTTGGTATTAACCTAATATCCTCTCTCTAATAACAAGGGCCTGCATCCTCATAGCGTCAGGGTCTGCCAATAATTCTTCCAGCTGTTGCACGTTACTTGGCTCCACGGCGTAGTCATACGCCTCGATGCGGGGTATGTCCTTTGGTTTGGGTAAGGGGTCACTTCCGTCTGTGGGAAATCTGGAATAATGAATTTTTTTTTATCATTTGTTTCGGATTGGTAGGTACAGAAGAATTATTGTCCAGGTCTGCGGTTGCGGGCTTTAAAGCAATTACAGTGTTTATGTAAAAAAAACATGAGTATAGCGAAATATGTTTTGAAGTATTATTTTATTTTTATAGAATAATTAAACAGGCAGGGCACATCTGATGTTAAGCGAAACCGCGCATGGACTATCAATGCTTGCAAGTACGTTGCCGGCCTTTGAAGATTGGTACGCTATATTCTTGAAGGACCATAAGTCGAATTGGTTCGGAAACACTTCAGTGGGCATCTGTTTCCACAGTGGAGTCGGCAAACACTCCCTTAAAAAAAAGTTTTGTTGTAGAACGACGTACGTCACAGTGAAACGGTTGGAATTTTGTATTCTGCTTCGACGTCCAATGATGAAACTCAGCTGAAGGTATTAATCCGAACAACTCCTCTGAACCCTCTCCATGTTTAATAATTCTTGACGATTCACAAAATCATATTTTCTCTTAAAAATTAAAACTATGAGGTCCCGTAACACATTGATTATGTAATAATACAACTTTTTCTACAGCTGTGATACTTTTTGACATTCAACACCTTTTGTCTTCAGTCACCGTGACCACGCACGCTGAAGAGGACGCGAAACGAACGAAACTATTTTTTTTTTAATTATGTAAAATAATTATAAGTTTATAACAATACATAACTTCAATCCGGTAAACAAGTGTTTTCTTTAAATGTGTAAAAGTTATGTCAATAAAAGACATTGATTATATTTCGTAAGTATTTCAGCCATCAGCCTAAACACGCCGTCGACTTTTGTGTCTAAGGTTTCCTCATGAAGTTTTCTCTCGCATTTACAAATATCGTCGAGTCTCACGAAACACTTAATTTTACCTGTCATCCATCGCTCTTTTCCACAAGGCTAAAGCTCCAACCATATCTCGTCTTTTGTCAACATAAGTGGCTCCTAGAAGTTCCAATGCGTCAATGCGTTGTTGTCTTGTCACGAGACCGTTCTCATTGTTAATCAGGTGTTCTACTATATGCGTGTGGCCGGTTACTGAGGCGGCTAGGAGGGGTGTCATGCCTGAAAGACAAAAATATTGTGTTCAGTTATATAAAATAATTTGTAGTTTATATGAAAATAATAATAATTGTTTGTTCCTAGAAAGATTTAGAGCCACTCATAGCCATGTTTAATACCTTTTAAGAATGCCTATTAAATGCGTCAAAACTTGTAACACAGGGTCACTTTTCGGTAGAGTATTTTTTTTTCACAGTGGGGTCCGAAGTAAACAAAAAGTTTGATTTGAAACGTTTCGTGACCACCCAGTGACTCTTTACACCTAAAAGTTACCATTATGAGGTGTAAAGTACTGGAAAGTCTAAAATGATATCATCGTCCGTATCGTAACGTTTTACAAAAGGACCCCCCCCCAATAAATTCGTTACGTAATACTTGAACCAAGTTGTTATCCAATATCCAACAAAATACAAATCTTAAAAATCGGACCAGCCATTCTCCAGTTAAAAATTGTGTAACCAACCCGAACTGGTTTTACATATTTAGATTTACAAACACAATTTTACACACTTTTGATATATAACGGAGCACCAACACTGTTCTCGCAATCGCTGGGTTAAGCAATTTTCAGTCGACATCTGTTCGCGCTCTTACATAAATGACTAATTATAAACAACACAATAGCAACTTTTATGTATATAGTAAGAGTATATATATAATTGCGATAAATATACCAACCATAAGAGTCCACATCCATTGTAGCACCGTGACCCAAAAGCATCTTTAATATATGAAGGGAACCGCTTTCAGCGCAGTCATGTAATGCCGTATTTCCTTTCACGCTCTTTCTATTAACATCTGCGTTTAATGACAGTAAGTACTTTGCGATCCGTATGTGGCCCTTGTAACACGCTATCATGAGGCACGTGTGACCGTGTCGATTAGCTATTTCTATATCTGAAATTGAGAATAATTTATATTAAAGTAACAGAAGTCTTTGAAGTCTAAGAATTAAGAGAATATTCCCACACAATGTAAAACAAAACTAAGGCTCAGGTGCCCGTACTCTATAAGTTTCAATGGTGATACCGATCCCCATAATTTTATATGCAATTTTGATATTGTTTTCAATAACCTTAGGATCGCGCGATACAAAAACTCATAATAATTCATTAAAGTCGCTTACGGATAGGGGATCTACATAAGGGCTTTTTGGGATGCAGCCCAGGGCCCCGTGAATGCAAGGGCCCAAAAAAAAACAATCATAAGGATGCGCGTCTTTCAAACGTAACGGGGAATTCCCTATCGCCTCTTATCGGTCCATGTAATTTCTCGCGTGTGCATCTATTAAGGGGGCTTCCCCGAACCCATAACCCCACGAATTCACAATCTGGCCCATGCCCATGCTTACGGGCGCTGTTTTCGGTTTGTGATTAATGAGATGACATATCATATTATGTCTGTGTGATTGGACTTAGGACAACGTTTTATTATGTTTTGCATTCCCGCTCTCTATCTGATGTTGACCTAAAAAAAAAGCTTCCGATCCAAAAAATTACCAGGAATATTCTTTAACATACCTGCACCGTTCTCGACTAGAAATTTAACAATATCAAAATGTCCATCGAAGCAGGCCGCCCGCAGCGGCGTGCTGTGAGTCCTCGTGGTAGAATTGACGTTCGCGCCGGCGCGAACCAGCAACCTGACCAGGGGCAGGTGACCGGCGGCCGCTGCACACCATAACGGCGGCGCGCCTTCGATTGTCTCACCGTCGAATGTTACTGGAATTAAAAATGTTAAAATTCAAAAAATTAACGAGAAATTAGTAATAAATATTTCTGGTACTTTTAATAGTGTGTACAAAAATAATACTAACTGACTATAGAGCACTGACCCAACAAACCAATATAAGATGAACTTCAAAATTTCGACCAGAAAATATTGTTCTTTAACTTTCAAAGAGCCTTCAGCACTTCGCTGTCGAAAGCCATTATACGTATATATACATATATATACATATATAAGCCGTACAATAGCCGGAAAATTTAATATAGCATAGTACGACCTATTTTACATTTCCTGACAGGTGTGTGCAGACTGCACGTATAATTGGATTGCAGTAACTGCAGCAAGTTAAAATGATTTCGTAAATGAATGTTATATGTAATAACTCTTGGTCATTGATGTACTGATTTTCGTCTAAGATAAATAAAGGAATTTGATCTTTGATACGAGATAAGGCTTTTGAACTAGTCCGTATACACCTTACCATTCAAATTTGACACTTGTTACTTTGCTGTTAGACGGTTCCTTAAATTTATTTCTAATTGTGAATAAGTTTAAATTTTAATTGGTCCCCGGCAATACTTTGAAGGAATAGTAACTTTGCAATCGAAAATTTTCCCGGAAAGAGAATCGATGTTCCAGCACCATGAATACTTTCCAGTAATATGAATGATAACTTAGTGTTTTTACAATGCGACTAAATCAACGAAAACATGACAACAGTCACTGAACTGCACATGGTTGAATAAATTCTAAGGCCAATGAAGTTTGCGAGCTTATACAAGATTTCGTTTTGTTTTGAAATAGGTGTAGATTTGAATAGCCTTTTAATAATCTATGGAATTAGTAGATAAATTTTTTATCAAACTCGAATTAAAATAAATTAATTATTTGCCTGGTTTCAAAAGAGATTCGACTGTACGAAGAAGCTGACTAACGATGGATCATTACCGAGATTAGCTGAAACCCAAATTGTATGTGCATGTAAGATAAACGTATTTTTACTAAAATAACTCTTGGTCACAGACTGCTAAGGATGTACATGATTTACTATAAGATAAATAAAGTATTTAACTATATACGAGTAAGCGTAGTTCTGTAACCACCATTCAAATTGTTGGACCTTCTTACATTACGAACTTGATTTCATTGTGATAAGTTAATTTGCATTGGCGTGCAGTTTGATCATTGCATATCAAAGTGAAAGAGAATCGAGCAGCATAATAATTTATATTTAATTATAAAATGTATTTATATATTATAGACACCAATGATAGTCTATTATTCAACAGATGGCGCTATGTTGAAAAGTACCAACGTTTGCGACTTAATTACACAAGTTTTAATGGGATGAATCCTTTGTATGGAGTTAGTAAAAAGCAATGGAGATCCAAATGATAAATAGTTATTTGCCTGTTTCCAAAGCTCGGAAAGCCTATTTCTACCACTAATGTAAATGCTTAGGAAAACTGTTCCCTAAGCTAAGTACTAACATTTCACCGTCCTTACATATAGTAGTATAGTAGCGACCATTACCTGAACCAGGTTGTTCAATATCGGCTTTGCACCTTTCTATGAGATATTCGGCTACATCATAATGGCCATTGCGACAAGCTATCACGAGGGGAGTGGCCCCGCTCACTTTGGCACCGAGCAGCATGTTCATCAGCTCGTCAGAGCGCCAACTCTGCAGGTACACCTGGAATAAGAAGAGAATTCATTAAGTAATTTCAGGAAAGGTTATTGTTCTTTTGTCAACAAAACCATTACAAGAACTAAAACGAATCTCAATTGTTACTGTGTGTGTAATTATGTTATATTTGATTAAATTACATATACAAAAAATTTAAATACATATATGATTGAGTTGAGACGTCAACAGTATCTTATGTCTGGATAAAAACCATAATAATGAAGTTTATTATGGTTTTTATCCAGAGATCAATACTATAAAATAAAAGTGTGTTTATTCGTTATAAGTATGGGAACCCGTTTAAATAAATAATACCTGTGACCCAGCTCTTCCATAACAAACTAAAATGTACATACAATTACAATTTATTAGGTAAATTATAAATAACTTATACTATTTCTGGAAATAGTTAGACATGGAAAGAGCAATTGCAATTGACATTGAGCAGTGCACCAATGTACTTTCATCTATGTGCACAATTAACATTCGCTCAAACGGTGAAGGAATACATCGTGAGGAAACCGGCTTGCCTTAGACCCAAAAAGTCAACGGTGTGCGTCAGGCACAGGAAGCTGATCACGTACTTGTCTATTAGATTGACAAATGGACTCATGAAACAGATACAGAAATCTGAGGGCTACACCTAAAAAGTTTGTAGCGCCACTTTTTTTCATTTTATTTCAGTGAGACATGGAAACATATTTCACAAATTTCACCTATCACGCTTAAAACGTTTGTGCAGAACAAATTTCAATTGTATTAGTGGAGCATATAAGTAAGACAAGAATGTTTCACGCTCTTTTGCTACGGTTTACTGTAAAGGCATTTGCTTGACAAAGGCGGAACACGGAAAACGGCACTCGGAAAACTGTAAGTTGCAATAAAACTTCTCGGAAGTTCTCAGAAATACGTTCGAAATGGGTTTAAACCATTGGTCATACGGTGATGAAAATCATCGTGAGTAAGCCGGCATGTCTCAAACCCTAAAGACAGAATATCGATGACGTATTCCTTAGCAACATAAATAAAAATGTATCCTTTGTATCCCTTGACACGTGACTTAAGCTACGGTTTCCTAGAAAAGCGGTGCCGTTAACTAACGACCGTAATGTAACGTTGGTTGACGTCACCCATACGTTGTCTAAAAATAACATCGGTGTAGGTTTTCTAGAGAACGTTGAGTGTCACCGTAACGTCAAATAGCGGTGCTGTCATTTGCATGACGGCCGTCGTGATAAACAGTAGTTCAACGTTTTTGGTGTGTAGCGGTGGGCATATTTAATTAATACAATGATTTGGACGAGCAAAAATGATGAACAATTAATTGATTTTGAAAAATCATGAAGCTTTGTACAATATCAAATCCAAAGAGACAGACAAACTCAGATGAAGCAAAGTTTGTGGAACGAAATTGGAATAACACTTCAAAAATACGGTCGCACTACTTTCTAGGAAACCACAGCTAGGCCACCGTAAAGACGGCCGTTATTAACAACCCTAAAATGACGGCCGTTATTTAACGGCACGACTTTTCTAGGAAACCGTAGCTTAAGGCAAAAAACTTTTACTGTATACTATAAATAACATTTTCTTTTGGAACTTTAGACAAAGATGCTTCCCTATTACCTCTGAGGCTTTCTCGGACCAGGTTTCCTTTAAAAATAAATTCTAGCACCAAAGTAAATCACAGTTAATGTACTATTTATTATATTAGATGTATCAAAAGTGAAATCGAGCTAAACGCAGGCGCCGTTTGCTCGGCGAACGCATGTCGCAACGTACTCGTATTGCTTCACCGCGATCGGGCATTCTAACAATATTCATTTCAAATGCCCACACAGATGATTCATACTTCAGCAGTTGGTTTATTATGACCTTAATAATTGCCTAGAATTACATAATTGTGTTAAGATATAATAAACTTAATCTTTTCAAATATTGAAATATTAGAAAAAAGCATATAACAATTTATTATAATAATTATTGCTTAAATGTACAACCTTTTAGTAATTCCACTATAAATCCATTATATATACATTGCCACAAAGTGCCTAATAGAAACACTGAGGCCTGGTAATACATCGCGTTTAGATATTTAAAGTTATAAAAGTTATGATTAAATAAAAAAAACTTACTTTCTAATGTACGTTACGATACCATACAACTTAGGGTCCTTAAAAAAAAGGCAAAGAGTGTGTTGCCTTTTAAGAAAAATTCTTGAAAGGCAAAACACTCGCGAGCCCTCTGTCAATGAGTGTCCATGGGTGCCGGTATTAATCAAGATCAAGTTAGCCTACTGTCCTCGGGTTTATTAAAAATAAGTTCACTACACTGGTAAAAAAAGCTACACAAAAAATAGACGCAACAAAACGAACCTTACAGGACCAAAGCTCCAGCACTTACGAAGAGAAACTAAACGATTTAGAAGAAACATCGAATTAATAAAGACGCCCTCGGTTTCGAAACGCATTGTCTCGAGACAATTATCATTGTCCCGGGTTCAATACCGCGTATTAGCATATTAGTAAACTGATCTACACATGAAATTCAGGTCAACTAATTGATACAAATATATGATTTGGGTACAACTCTCAATGTAAAACTATTCTAACTCATTCATCAACAGATATTAAACAACAACAAAGGAATAGATAACCGTTTTTAAGGCACCACCGCTATGTGGAACCAGCTGCCCACTAAAGTATTTCCGAACCAATTCGACTTAGGGTCCTTCAAAAAATGAGCGCACCAATTCTCGCACTTGCGAGCCTTCTGGCAATGTCTATGGGCGGGGGGTATCACTTAACATCAGGTGAGCCTCCTGCCCTATTTTTAGGTAAAAAAATACCTAAAATTTTCCATAACAATTTCTTGAAGAACTTTCTAACATTTTATTGAAGAAAACAAGTTACTAACATTTTTTTTTAATCCAAAAAGGAGATTATCATTTGCACTTGCATGTATGTTATACTGTTGTATTTTGATAGTTTTTTGTTATGGCTTCCAACCACGCGTGCTAAATTTCGTTTAGTGTTTGTCGTAATTATATAGAGATATCTGTTTTAAACATTATTTATTACTTACCTAGGTCGGTATCTATATATATATATATATATGTATTTATAAATTCAATAAATTTCCGTAAACAAAAAATATTAACTACTTTCGATGGAATTTTTATTCATATAATAACATTGAATATTGGTAACACAAATGCGGAAGTCTCACAAAATGAATGCACGTTCTCTTCACCATTTACCCACAATAACTTTACACTAAATAACATACTATAAATCTCTAAAGATTACGTCTGATGTATCGGAGTCATAGCAACCCTTTAACTGATGCATATTGTACTTTTATAAATAATATCATATTTGTAATGACTTGCTTCATTTTAACGACTTATTAAAGCCTTCTCTCTCTTACGTAATAATAAGAACGGAAACATCTTATGTATATTTTTTTTAATGATGACTTAAAAAGTAGTTCGCATTAAGAATCAAATAACAGGATATTTTAAAGGTCAAATTATTGTTAAATACGATTTTTGTAGACAACTGTTACGTATACCTTACGTCACTGGGTCTTGTCTCGGGTCATTGACACACTTAAAGCCTCCAACAGATTACACAATGTATTTATCAATTAAGTGTTCTGTCTGTAACCATATACCGAACGGATTTTTTAAACGGTATTCAACAAATAGACATAGACGTAGGTATTATGGCTTTGAATAAAATGTTTAAAATACTGTTCGTGTAATTTTCGTAAATACAAAGGTGATTAAACTTTCACCTTCCTTAAAAATTATGTAAAAAGGCTCTTAAATAAATAAATATATTCCGTTATCTTAATAAGACAACCGCCATTTTATTGGACTTTTAAAGTTTTATTACTACATTTTTAAGGCAGTAAGGTAAAACCACCAGTAATTGACACTGCATCAATAGTTGACACTTTGACGAAGAAAATAGAAACAAGAATAAAACAAGTAGCCAAAGATAGACATTGTGTTTATGATATAGTATAGACATCTAGCGGCACCAACAAAAACTATCGTGGCGTCTTAACGTCATCGCTAGTCACAGCGTTCGATCCAATTTGTTAAGAGCAAGCCGAAAGATTAATATTGGAAAGGTACGTAATCTTTTATAATTATGAATAAATATTAATTGTATCCTTTATATTAGAGTCTGAAGTGTGAATGCATGTCATTTAACATGACAAACAATAAAAAAATATATAAATAAGGGGTCATGTCATTTACTGATTCTTAAAACGACTTAAGATTGAGTAGTTGACATGTGCTGTCAACTAATGGATTTTCATGAAATGTATTAACATCGTATAATTTATGTGTTATCTTGCTGCTTATACATTAAATTACTCTATTATATCTTCTAAAATAATTTAAAACCATTTTGTTCAGTAGTTGACAGGAGGATTTTAGAGATTTAGGTGTCAACTATCGAATTATTTTTCTTTCGTTTTGTAGATGCCACCGACAACAGGAAATTTTAGGAATTATACACAAGAGGCTTAGATGGAAGCAGCGGTAGAAGATGTGCGTTTACATAAATCTCCTTATAAGACTGCTGCAAAAAAATTTAACGTACCAAGGATTACACTAAAGTACAAGGTTGAAGGAAAACATCCAATTGACCGGTAAGTCAGTTTTAAATATATTAAGCGAGTGTATAATATACTGAATTTAGCTGTAAGTGCGTCAATAAAATAACATTGTTGTAGATATGTATTTACTTCCTAATTTTATTTTTAGAAAAATGGGGCCACCAGCCGTATTGAGTAGAACTGAGGAAAAAACTATTGTAGATTGGATTTTTGAAATGGCCCGTGCAGGATTTCCCGTCACTATGAAGGAGGTTGTCTTTAGTGTGCAGCGTCTATTAACAGAATTAAAAAGGCCGAACCCGTTTAAAGACAATTGCCCAGGAAAATCGTGGATGAAAGGATTCATGAAGAGGAATCCTGGAATAAGTGTTCGTATGTCTCAAAACCTTACAAGATCAAGAGCTGTTATATCCAAGGAGCAAATTTTAAATTGGTTTAAAGAAGTAGATACATTTTTGGATCATACTCAACAAAAATACGTTTTACAAGATCCTAGAAGGATCTTTAATACAGATGAAACTGCTTTTTTTTTAATCCGAAGGGTGGTAGTTTTAGCACAAAAAGGGGACAAGACAGTATATCAGCAAGTCAATCCAGATGAGAAAGAATGCCTAACCGTCCTTATCACAGGTAGCGCATCTGGTGCTATACATCCTCCAACAATTTTGTTTAAATATAAAATAATCCCACAAGAAATTGCGCAGAATTTTCTTCCAGAATGGGGTCTGGGAAAAACAGATTCTGGTTGGATGACTTGCGAGGCGTTCTTCGAATTTATTGCCGACATTTTTCATCCTTGGCTGAAGAAAGAAAGTATTCCTTTGCCGGTCATTCTTTTCGTGGACGGGCATGCGTCTCATCTAAGTCTACAAGTGAGTCAGTTTTGCGAAAAAAATGGCATCATCCTCATTGCCCTGTACCCCAATGCAACACACCTATTACAACCAATGGATGTTGCTGTATTCAGAACTCTGAAAGAGCATTGGAAAAAGAGGGTACACGAATGGAGAATATCTAATTTGGAAGCTCCAATCTTAAAGAAAAAAGATTTTCCAAAACTTCTGAAAGAAGTTATCGACACTACACTGAACGCGACAATCTTCGAAAATGGTTTTAGAAAATATGGGCTATTTCCGTGGCACCCGGAAATAGTCACTGTTCCATTAAACAATGAACACCTTCATAATTAAGTCACAAATGTTGAGGGACGTAGAAGATTTTTAGAAGAAGGGCTTCGGTTTCTCAATCAAAGTATTCCCCAAAGCAAGCTCATTATATTTTGCAACGGAGATAAAAATGAGACGAAAAAGATATCTCACTGTTTGAACTGTGGCAAAGTACAAAATCAGAAATAGAAAACGGTTTGCCAAATTCCTCTGTTGTTATCCCTGAGCCTACCGCAGAAAACAGTGAAGATACAAATCTTTTATTTAACATTATACCGCTCGTGGCAATAACGAGTAGCAAAACCAAAGCACAGCCCATAACAACCGGCCATCTAAAAACAACTCTCCTACGATTTTTGAACCATATTTTGAAAATAATATGAACCTTTGCCAAGCTGGACCTTCTTCACCGCCCGCGGATTTCCCAAGCCCCTTTGACCCTGATGCTCTACCGCTCGCTTCTGGTGCCATTAACGAGTGCAATAACGAAACCATAGAAACTTCAGTGTCTGCGGAAATCCCCAGCCCCTATAAAAGACATTTTTATTATAAGAAAAATAAAGAGGAACCAGACAGAAAACGATCCACAAAAGAAAGAATGCCTTCTATAGTTTCGGAACACTTGTGTCAAGAATATTTTAAAAAGAAGTTAGCAAAAAAGTAAGAATCAGAAAAATTAAAAATGGAACGTGCTGCCAAAAGACAAAAGAAAAGAGAAGAAAATGAGAAAACAAAAAAGGGAACATTCAGAAGCGTAAGAAAAACACTGAAAAAGAGGATGCTTAATTTTGACGATAGTTCTGATTCAAATGTGGATGGTGTTTTTGCTGACAGTGAAAGTGAGTCTAAAAATGAAAGTGATAGAGAAAACATTAAAAAAAAAACTTAAAAAACCAGTACAGAGAAAATTAGGAGAGTATGTAGTATTTTCTTACGAAGAAGAGTTGTTTCCGGGGGTAATTACTCATGTTACTAAAACAGCTGCTACTATTTCGTCAATGCAGAAATGTGGGAGACTTTGGAAATGGCCTGAAAAAGTGGATCAATTGGGCTATGAATGGGAATATGTGTTGTTCCATATTGACGAGCCATTAAAAATGAGTCAGACAAGAAATGTATACACGGTTCCCGAACTAGAATATTTATGGAACTAAGTGACTGGTATAAAATTACTGAATATTGATACTAAATAGGATAGCTCATTTCCAGCTGTCAGTATGTATAAATATAGGTCTATATTTTTAAGTTTACAAATACATATATAGGTTCAGTCAGTTGTATCTAATAACATTTCATTTTTGTGTACATCTTAATTTAAACATACTATGTCAACTACTGAAAATAACAAGTGTCAACTACTACATATTTTTGTTTTTACTAGGTGTCAACTACTAAGTTACTACCTTCATTTTATTAAAAAATATATAAAAAATACGCATCAGTTTTATTTATACAATTCTTGTCATATACTGAAAGTGTAATAATTTGCGCAACGATTACCAAGTAGAAACTCCCTGTAAGATGATTTAATAAACCCTTAAGGTGTCATCTACTGGATAGTTTAAACGCACTAAACATAAACACTCGCCCGTAACCCAACAAGATAAACGCTTATAATGCCAGACTAGAAATACCTTTCTTAATCTCCTCAGAAGGCGTCTTTGCCGTCTCAGGAGGGTCTTCCCGCAGCGTCGCAGCCTCTCAATCCACTTGCACCTCGTCGGCATCAAGTCCATCAGATCCCAAACACCACCAGACATTATTCACATGTCAATCTCACAATTCATAATACAAACTCTCACTTATAGCACACACTTTTGTAATTAATCCGCTTTCATTTAAATATTATTCAATTTCTAACACTAAGACTTTCAGTTCATTCGCCACGCTTTTGGTTCAATTAAATTTGAATATCTAAAAAAAAAATTGCGTCACAGAGCGTAAATTTTAAAATGGATTCAATTTTGACGTCCGAAGGTTTTCGATGTTTTGAATAAACTGCGCAAGTCTATATTCGTGCAACAGAATGCGACATACGATAGCGCTTAATAGCCATATATTTTGAAAGAAAGAGAATATTTCGCGGTCATCTAACAGTCTTAATTATTTTCACAAATTATTAAAATAACCATCTTTTTAAAATTAATAAAATAGCGTACTTTCAAGAGATGCCGACTGCCATTTTAATTGATATTTTTTTTCATTTAAAGACATTTACTCCATACCTGTTGTACTACACGTCTAGTTATTTATTATTTCATACAGAAACATCATACCGAATGATGTATGATTTTGTAAGGTTAGAAATATTACATTAGATGACCTTAAAATCTTAAGAGACTTACGTCCTCGCAACTGTTTACTAAACATATATGTTTAATATTTTTGTCTACTTATACGAATAGGAAGTATATTTTTTATTAAGATGTTTGTTCCTTATAAATAGGTTTTATTAATCAAGGAGGCTACGAAACAAGAATCTCAAATGGTTTATACACGTAATATATAAAATATTAAAATATAAATTGTTTTAAGAAACGTGTAAGCCTGGCCACGTACAATCCTGACAAGTCAAACACTTATGTGCACCAATGGACTTTTCTGCCTATTCGCATTTAACACTCACTAGTACGGTGAAAGAAAATAGTGTAAGAAGACCGTATACCAAACAATCGAAACGGTTTATGAGGCACAGAAAGCTACGTGCTTATTAATAATATAATAAATTATGCAGAATTTCATACAAAAATCCGGGATCAAGATTAAGAATTGTAGCGACAATGGGTTTATTAAAATTTCTATAAAAGCAATATTTTGGTTACATGCAGTTTCAATGAGAAAACATCATAAGCGATATTTCAAAAACGTGAATCTATTTGAATATAATCACGTTCCGTTCCGTATCACGCGACTGAACTCCGCGACCAAGTTTTATTTCATCGGAGATATTTTTGACATTGCTTATATAAACCATTTGTAAGCAATATATTTTTGCAGGTAATTAGAACCGTTACCAGTTAGGGGCCTTCAAGAAAAGAGTACCTATTTAAGTGCCTGTAACGCACTTGTCCATGGTCGGCGATAAAGTTGTTGACTTTAAGGGACTCGTGCTTGTTTGCCACTTGCCCAATAAAAAATTTAACCTTATTATTATATGCTTGCAATGATACAGACTTTATCATAAGAGAAATTTCATTTGTAATATTAATTATAAAAACACTTCTGTCCTAACAGGCGACCCTTTGACAAGAGTGCATAAGTGAATAAAATTTACAGACGAAACAAAAAACAAATATAAGAAATTAATTAGGAAAATCAAAAGTACATAATCAAAAGTACAAAAAATTAACTAACTAATATAGGCACTAACAAATAATAGATATTTTGTCAGTTGACTCAATGCAACAATGCAACAGTCGGGCAATGAAAAAGATCCGTTATATATATGTGCCCTTTTCAGAAAGTTAGTCCTAGCTACAGCCACATGAAGTTACGGCGGACGATGTTGCCTTCTCATCCATGATCCATCAGGTACATTGAAGCTAAGGCATTGTAGTACCTACTGCCGAATTAATGTCCTTTCCATGTACATTTTTTTATGAAGTACATCACAAGCGCGAATTCTCTCTACTCTCTCTATTCTCTGTACGGTGTGACATCCTAAGATAGTGCCTCAATAAAATAGTATTGGAATATAAAAAATAATCACTTATCTAAACGAAACGACTATGCGGTTTGATCTATTATTTTTGGTCAAAATTACTCCTATATGCGTTGAGATACGTCCTGGTATAACGTAAATTTAATCACTTAAAATGTTTAAGTAAGCCAAATCCGGATCCGGACAAATTAACATATATATGCGAATTTATCACATTATGACATTTGAATCGTCTAATGCCGTCACCAGCAAAACATTTATATATAATAGGAAGTTCTATTTTAATTGTGTAGTACTGTATCTGTTTTCACTTGTATTTTTCTTTAGACCGTAAATCACTAACGCTATTAAAAGCAGACGTCAATAAACACGACAATTCGTCAGTTTAAATAATATATATATGTAATAGTAAATGTAAAATTAGAAGCATTTATGTATATTTCTTTTTTGACGTTCATAAGTTTAAATTGTGTTACCTAAATGAATAAATGATTTTTGACTTTGACTATAATTGGAATGGTATTGATTTGCACGTAAACAATTACTTTGAGATTGTCTAAACAATACTTTGCAATAAAGACTAAATATTTATTGTTTTCAAATAATTAAAAGTAAATCAAAATCAAATTAAATTAGATTATGAATCATTGAAAACATTGTTAATTAATAAATAGTACACGAATGTGTCAATATGTGTCTTGGTAAAAATATATTGTATGTAACTATTATAAATAAATATTGAAATAACTTCTTATAGTATAGCTACCAATTCACTGAATTATTAAGTAATTTTTCCTCGTCGGCAACTTACTTCCGGGTCGAGAGAGCGACTTCATATCGCAAAATAAATAGTATTCCATCCACATTTTCATACTCCACTAAACCATTTACAAAAATATCTATATTTAAATAGATACACAAAATGCATTAGAATGCATTGTTTACGGTCGAGTAAGGTTGCACTTTCTAGCCAGTCGTGGTGACGACATATTTTGCAACATTAGCTACAAAATTCTATAATACACATATTTCGACACTTCCCGTTTGTTTAATAGTAAATATTACAAATTTATATATATGTTTTATATATTAGTAACAGATTTTAATTTATTTTAACGTGTACATTTTTCGTTTAGTCCTTCGGGTTTTTATTAAATTGTTTAAAATACACACTGACTGTATACAGTCCGGTTTAAGGCCATAACTAAAACGTAATAAACCAATATCCGAATGTTAATGAAACTGTCAATTATTTAAACAGTTAAAACACATATAAACATAATATAGCTTATAGTGTCTTGAAACAAACGGAGGCGTAGTACTAATTAAACGCGCGTGAATTCGGAACTACCACAATTCGAATTATGTAAAATTTTGATTATGAGAACACGATCATGTACCGAAAGTGGGTCGAACCGCAAGCAACCGACCGCGTCTGTGTCGAGTGCAACACTGCAAGAATCCTCTTTCACTCCGGTTACACAAGATAATTGCGTAATTTTCTATTGCCTTTCCATCGTTGTGCGACACACGATGCCTACATAACCCAAGTTACTTGTAGGGCTTTAAGCTGTGAAAACCCTGCAGTACTGGTAACTATTCTGAATCGATATACGCGAAATTCCCTTTTTCCTGTAAAATGGAAAGTCTTTAAAGCTAGGGTTAGCTCGTAAACATTTTACTAGGTACATTGCATTCATACATTTATATTAATTAATAATAATTAATTAATTTGACGGCTCATTGGTCTAGTGGTTAGTACCCCTGACTGCGAATCCATGGGTCCCGGGTTCGATCCCCGGCTGAGACAAAGATCGATGTGATGAGCATTTGGTGTTATGCTTAGGTCTTGGGTGTTTAAATATGTATTTATATGTCTATCTATCTATAATATGTATGTATATCCGTTGCCTAGTAGCCATAACACAAGCTTCACCAGCTTAGCATGGGACTAGGTCAATTGGTGTGAATTGGCCAATCATATTTAAAAAAAAAATATGTATTGAAGTTATGTTTAAATAAAACTATTAATAACAAACACTGAGGTTTGATAAGCAGAAAAAGAACTCACTTAACGATTGAGAAAGAATACTCCGTTGTACTTTAACCTTCTAAGCGGTCAAGAAAAGGTTAATAATATTATCCAATCAAGAATCAGAATGCCCAGAACAGCTAAAGACATAAAGCAATCATCAATCTTTACGATTCATTAAAATGGTAATAGTTTGTAAAAAATGTATCAGAACTACGTTAATACATAATCAACTACACGGTCGCTTAAACATTCTAACATTTTGCCCTTTTTTAAACCTGTAAGTTACTTTCGTTACAATTTTCTTGTCTCATCTTTCTTCATTATTTTGATTATTTATTAACAGAAGGTGCATGATTTAGTAAAATCAGTTTAACAGATTCATATAGACGAATAATTATATCTTCTATACTATATTTGTTGAGTGTGCTATATATATATTTATTATATATATATAATAG